AGGAGAGCGTTTGTGTAGTTACCTTGCACACACAGGACGTTTTGGAACGTCCCGCGTGATATCCCGTCTTGAGTAGACCTCGGCCTCGTAAGTCCCCTCCTTTTCTTTGTCACCTGCCTCAGCCTCAGAGATCCGTCCTCAGAGACGTCCTCAACCTTCCCTAAGATCATCAACTCTCCATGTCTTCTGAATATGTTTTCACCGTTACGTTTCCACATTAATCTGTCCGTGGCGTCCAGTTTGACTGGAAGGAGCACCGTGAAGTCGCCCCCTGCTGGAGCAAACTGTTCACAATCAGCATCTGTGACACAGAGAGTGTTTGTTACGTTTCCTCTAGACATTCCTACTCAACTCTGATAATCCAATACTCACAGAAACACAGGAGCCTCATGGGTCAACACAGCTGTCAATCATGATGTCATACTCCTTTTTTATATCATCAACAATAATTGAAACTAAACTTCTCAGAAACATGAACACTGAGACATAGCTCAACATGATAAGAACAGACTGTGGAGACGTCAGAGAAACATGTATCTGAAGTGTATTTAAACTTTATACTTTGACCCTAGTCCCATATGTTAACATGGAGGAGGCGGAGCTTATGAGCTATACTGCAGCCATTCAGCAGGGGGAGCTCTAAATGTTCTAGCTTCACTTTAAGGGAGCTGTGGAGTCGTCCATCATTTTATACAGATGGTGATAAAGACTCATCAGTGACCCCTACAGGCTGCAGTGTTGTGGAATACAAACAGGAGGGTTCATAAATATATATTTTAAAAATCAAACATTGACTAACGTAATCATACATTAGTAGGGCTTCATGTCTAAAGTTGCTCTTCTAATTTTATTGAGAGATAAAGAACTGAACATTTCTCTGAAGAAATAGTTATCTGTTACAGACCGATATATATATATATATCTGTTACAGGCTAAATTATATCTGTTACCTCTTTGGTAACAGATATATATATATATATATATATATATGTCTTTTACCTGCTTTTTCTAACATAACAATGAGTAAAGTTTTTTACCTGCTCTTTTCTAATGTTAAAAGAAAATGAGTATGGTCTTTTACCTACTTTTTGTAACATAATGTGACGCCCACAAAATGTGTCGTCACATTTTATGTAATGTGTCTATGTTTTTTTTTTTTTTGGAATAATATTACCAGGAAAGATCATCACTAATATGTGCTATAATAGCCAGATAACAGTACACTTTAGTGTTGCCAGCAGGAGGCAGTGTGGCGCTGGGCTTCTCCCATGTATGGACTCTCTTTGTTATGGGACTGTCGTTTCTTCCTCATTCTACCGAGTGAAGCTGAACTGAAAAGAAGCACAGTTGCCTGTCTCATTCTTTTCTTCTGTTTATACAGTTTTGTATGGTTAAAACACATGTATAAGTGCATATGAATATTGATAAACACAAAGGAAACACACTACATCGCATTGGTAAAGGTAGTTGAACTTTATGTGTTTGTAAAAGTAAAAAACAAACAAAAAAACGTCGGGTTGCGTCCTGCCGCTGGTCGCCATGACTACAGTCCTCCCTTGTCTCTTGTGATTATATTGTAGTCACACACAACTTCTGACGGACCCTTTTCCTGAAGTTAATGTCAAGATTTTAAATTCTAAATATCAAACATGTTTAAAATAAACGTTAAGATTGGATCTTTGTACCGCTCACACTACAAGATAATCTGAGCAGATAATCGGGTCCGAGCAGCCTGGAGTCGGGAGCGACCCTGCGATTGTCGGGAAGGAAGAATCGGAGCTCAAATCGGCCCAATTATCCCGCAGTGTGAGCCAGGCTTTAGGGAGAGGCGTTTGTGTAGTTACCTTGCACACACAGGACGTTTTGGAACGTCCCGCGTGATTTCCCGTCTTGAGTGTAGACCTCGGCCTCGTAAGTCCCCTCCATTTTCTTTGTCACCTGCCTCAGCCTCAGAGATCCGTCCTCAAAGACGTCCTCAACCTTCCCTAAGATTATCAACTGTCTATGTCTTCTAAATATGTTTTCACCGTTACGTTTCCACATTAATCTGTCCGTGGCGTCCAGTTTGGCTGGAAGGTGCAACGTGAAGTCGCCCCCTGCTGGAGCAAACTGTTCACAATCAGCATCTGTGGACACAGAGAGTGTTTGTTACGTTTCCTCTAGACATTCCTGCTCAACTCTGATAATCCAATACTCACAGAAACACAGGAGCCTCATTGGTCAACACAGCTGTCAATCATGATGTCATACTCCTTTTTTATATCATCAATAATAATTGAAACTAAACTTCTCAGAAACATGAACACTGAGACATAGCTCAACATGATAAGAACAGACTGTGGAGACGTCAGAGAAACATGTATCTGAAGTGTATTTAAACTTTATACTTTGACCCTAGTCCCATATGTTAACATGGAGGAGGTGGAGCTTATGAGCTATACTGCAGCCATTCAGCAGGGGGAGCTCTAAATGTTCTAGCTTCACTTTAAGGGAGCTGTGGAGTCGTCCATCATTTTATACAGATGGTGATAAAGACTCATCAGCGACCCCTACAGGTTGCAGTGTTATGGAATACAAACAGGAGGGTTCATAAATATATATTTTAAAAATCAAACATTGACTAAAGTAATCATACATTAGTAGGGCTTCATGTCTAAAGTTGCTCTTCTAATTTTATTGAGAGATAAAGAACTAAACATTTCTCTGAAGAAATAGTTATCTGTTACAGACCGATATCTATATATATATATATATATATATATCTGTTACAGGCTAAATTATATCTGTTACCTCTTTGGTAACAGATATATATATATATATATGTCTTTTACCTGCTTTTTCTAACATAACAATGAGTAAAGTTTTTTCCCTGCTCTATTGTAATGTTAAAAGACCATGAGTATGGTCTTTTACCTACTTTTTGTAACATAATGTGACGCCCACAAAATGTGTCATCACATTTTATGTAATGTGTCTATGTTTTTTTTTTTTGGAATAATATTACCAGGAAAGATCATCACTAATATGTGCTATATTACTCTATACTACTCTATATATTACACTAATATGTACCTCATTTCGTTACTCTATACTTGTATATGTGTAATGACAATAAAGTTGAATCTCATCTCATCTATAATAGCCAGATAACGGTACACTTTAGCGTCACCAGCAGGAGGCAGTGTGGCGCTGGGCTTCTCCCATGCATGGACTCTCTTTGTTATGGGACTCTCGTTTCTTCCTCATTCTACCGAGTGAAGCTGAACTGAAAAGAAGCACAGTTGCCTGTCTCATTCTTTTCTTCTGTTTATACAGTTTTGTATGGTTAAAACACATGTATAAGTGCATATAAATATTGATAAACACTAAGGAAACACGCTACATCGCATTGGTAAAGGTACCTGAACTTTATGTGTTTGTAAAAGTAAAAAAAAAAGCCGGGTTGCGTCCTGCCGCTGGTCGCCATGACTACAGTCCTCCCTTGTCTCTTGTGATTATATGTAGTCACACACAACTTCTGCCGGACCCTTTTCCTGAAGTTAACGTCAAGATTTGAAATTCTAAATATCAAACATGTTGAAATAAATCAGGGCGTCCCGGCGATCGCCAGACAGATCAGGGACGTTAAGATTGGATCTTTGTACCGCTCACACTACAAGATAATCTGAGCAGATAATCGGGTCCGAGCAGCCTGGAGTCGGGAGCGACCCTGCGATTGTCGGGAAGGAAGAATCGGAGCTCAAATCGGCCCAATTATCCCGCAGTGTGAGCCAGGCTTTAGGGAGAGGCGTTTGTGTAGTTACCTTGCACACACAGGACGTTTTGGAACGTCCCGCGTGATATCCCGTCTCGAGTGTAGACCTCGGCCTCGTAAGTCCCCTCCATTTTCTTTGTCACCTGCCTCAGCCTCAGAGATCCGTCCTCAAAGACATCCTCAACCTTCCCTAAGATCATCAACTCTCCATGTCTTCTGAATATGTTTTCACCGTTACGTTTCCACATTAATCTGTCCGTGGCGTCCAGTTTGACTGGAAGGTGCACCGTGAAGTCGCCCCCTGCTGGAGCAAACTGTTCACAATCAGCATCTGTGGACACAGAGAGTGTTTGTTACGTTTCCTCTAGACATTCCTGCTCAACTCTGATAATCCAATACTCACAGAAACACAGGAGCCTCATGGGTCAACACAGCTGTCAATCATGATGTCATACTCCTTTTTTATATCATCAACAATAATTGAAACTAAACTTCTCAGAAACATGAACACTGAGACATAGCTCAACATGATAAGAACAGACTGTGGAGACGTCAGAGAAACATGTATCTGAAGTGTATTTAAACTTTATACTTTGACCCTAGTCCCATATGTTAACATGGAGGAGGTGGAGCTTATGAGCTATACTGCAGCCATTCAGCAGGGGGAGCTCTAAATGTTCTAGCTTCACTTTAAGGGAGCTGTGGAGTCGTCCATCATTTTATACAGATGGTGATAAAGACTCATCAGTGACCCCTACGGGCTGCAGTGTTGTGGAATACAAACAGGAGGGTTCATAAATATATATTTTAAAAATCAAACATTGACTAAAGTAATCATACATTAGTAGGGCTTCATGTCTAAAGTTGCTCTTCTAATTTTATTGAGAGATAAAGAACTGAACATTTCTCTGAAGAAATAGTTATCTGTTACAGACCGATATATATATATATCTATATATATAGATATATATATATCTGTTACAGGCTAAAATATACCTGTTACCTCTTTGGTAACAGATATATATATATGTCTTTTACCTGCATTTTGTAACATAACAATGAGGAAGGTCTTTTACCTGCTTTTTGTAACATAACAATAAGTAAAGTCTTTTACCTGCTCTTTTGTAATGTTAAAAGAAAATGAGTATGGTCTTTTACCTACTTTTTGTAACATAATGTGACGCCCACAAAATGTGTCATCACATTTTATGAAATGTGTCTATGTTTTTGTTTTTTTGGAATAATATTACCAGGAAAGATCATCACTAATATGTGCTATAATAGCCAGATAACGGTACACTTTAGTGTCGACAGCAGGAGGCAGTGTGGCGCTGGGCTTCTCCCATGTATGGACTCTCTTTGTTATGGGACTCTCGTTTCTTCCTCATTCTACCGAGTGAAGCTGAACTGAAAAGAAGCACAGTTGCCTGTCTCATTCTTTTCTTCTGTTTATACAGTTTTGTATGGTTAAAACACATGTATAAGTGCATATGAATATTGATAAACACAAAGGAAACACGCTACATCGCATTGGCAAAGGTAGTTGAACTTTATGTGTTTGTAAAAGTAAAAAACAAACAAAAAAACGTCGGGTTGCGTCCTGCCGCTGGTCGCCATGACTACAGTCCTCCCTTGTCTCTCGTGATTATATTGTAGTCACACACAACTTCTGACGGACCCTTTTCCTGACGTTAATGTCAAGATTTTAAATTCTAAATATCAAACATGTTTAAAATAAACGTTAAGATTGGATCTTTGTACCGCTCACACTACAAGATAATCTGAGCAGATAATCGGGTCCGAGCAGCCTGGAGTCGGGAGCGACCCTGCGATTGTCGGGAAGGAAGAATTGGAGCTCAAATCGGCCCAATTATCCCGCAGTGTGAGCCAGGCTTTAGGGAGAGGCGTTTGTGTAGTTACCTTGCACACACAGGACGTTTTGGAACGTCCCGCGTGATTTCCCGTCTCGAGTGTAGACCTCGGCCTCGTAAGTCCCCTCCATTTCCTTTGTCACCTGCCTCAGCCTCAGAGATCCGTCCTCAGAGACGTCCTCAACCTTCCCTAAGATCATCAACTCTCCATGGCTTCTAAGTATGTTTTCACCGTTACGTTTCCACATTAATCTGTCCGTGGCGTCCAGTTTGACTGGAAGGTGCAACGTGAAGTCGCCCCCTGCTAGAACAAACTGTTCACAATCAGCATCTGTGGACACAGAGAGTGTTTGTTACGTTTCCTCGAGACATTCCTGCTCAACTCTGATAATCCAATACTCACAGAAACACAGGAGCCTCATTGGTCAACACAGCTGTCAATCATGATGTCATACTCCTTTTTTATATCATCAATAATAATTGAAACTAAACTTCTCAGAAACATGAACACTGAGACATAGCTCAACATGATAAGAACAGACTGTGGAGACGTCAGAGAAACATGTATCTGAAGTGTATTTAAACTTTATACTTTGACCCTAGTCCCATATGTTAACATGGAGGAGGTGGAGCTTATGAGCTATACTGCAGCCATTCAGCAGGGGGAGCTCTAAATGTTCTAGCTTCACTTTAAGGGAGCTGTGGAGTCGTCCATCATTTTATACAGATGGTGATAAAGACTCATCAGTGACCCCTACGGGCTGCAGTGTTGTGGAATACAAACAGGAGGGTTCATAAATATATATTTTAAAAATCAAACATTGACTAAAGTAATCATACATTAGTAGGGCTTCATGTCTAAAGTTGCTCTTCTAATTTTATTGAGAGATAAAGAACTGAACATTTCACTGAAGAAATAGTTATCTGTTACAGACCGATATATATATATATATATATATATATATATCTCTCTCTCTGTTACAAGCTAAAATATACCTGTTACCTCTTTGGTAACAGATATATATATATATATATATATATATATATATATATATATATCGGTCTTTTACCTGCTTTTTGTAACATAACAATAAGTAAAGTCTTTTACCTGCTCTTTTGTATTGTTAAAAGAAAATGAGTATGGTCTTTTACCTACTTTTTGTAACATAATGTGACGCCCACAAAATGTGTCATCACATTTTATGTAATGTGTCTATGTTTTTTTTTTTTTTGGAATAATATTACCAGGAAAGATCATCACTAATATGTGCTATAATAGCCAGATAACAGTACACTTTAGCGTCACCAGCAGGAGGCAGTGTGGCGCTGGGCTTCTCCCATGCATGGACTCTCTTTGTTATGGGACTCTCGTTTCTTCCTCATTCTACCGAGTGAAGCTGAACTGAAAAGAAGCACAGTTGCCTGTCTCATTCTTTTCTTCTGTTTATACAGTTTTGTATGGTTAAAACACATGTATAAGTGCATATAAATATTGATAAACACTAAGGAAACACACTACATCGCATTGGTAAAGGTACCTGAACTTTATGTGTTTGTAAAAGTTTAAAAAAAAGCCGGGTTGCGTCCTGCCGCTGGTCGCCATGACTACAGTCCTCCCTTGTCTCTTGTGATTATATTGTAGTCACACACAACTTCTGCCGGACCCTTTTCCTGAAGTTAACGTCAAGATTTGAAATTCTAAATATCAAACATGTTTGAAATAAATCAGGGCGTCCCCGACGATCGCCAGGCAGATCGGGGACGTTAAGATTGGATCTTTGTACCGCTCACATTACAAGATAATCTGAGCAGATAATCGGGTCCGAGCAGCCTGGAGTCGGGAGCGACCCTGCGATTGTCGGGAAGGAAGAATCAGAGCTCAAATCAGCCCAATTATCCCGCAGTGTGAGCCAGGCTTTAGGGAGAGGCGTCTGTTTAGTTACCTTGCACACACAGAACGTTTTGGAACGTCCCGCGTGATTTCCCGTCTTGAGTGTAGACCTCGGCCTCGTAAGTCCCCTCCATTTCCTTTGTCACCTGCCTCAGCCTCAGAGATCCGTCCTCAGAGACGTCCTCAACCTTCCCTAAGATCATCAACTCTCCATGTCTTCTGAATATGTTTTCACCGTTACGTTTCCACATTAATCTGTCCGTGGCGTCCAGTTTGACTGGAAGGAGCACCGTGACGTTGCCCCCTGCTGGAGCAAACTGTTCACAATCAGCATCTGTGGACACAGAGAGTGTTTGTTACGTTTCCTCTAGACATTCCTACTCAACTCTGATAATCCAATACTCACAGAAACACAGGAGCCTCATTGGTCAACACAGCTGTCAATCATGATGTCATACTCCTTTTTTATATCATCAATAATAATTAAAACTAAACTTCTCAGAAACATGAACACTGAGACATAGCTCAACATGATAAGAACAGACTGTGGAGACGTCAGAGAAACATGTATCTGAAGTGTATTTAAACTTTATACTTTGACCCTAGTCCCATATGTTAACATGGAGGAGGTGGAGCTTATGAGCTATACTGCAGCCATTCAGCAGGGGGAGCTCTAAATGTTCTAGCTTCACTTTAAGGGAGCTGTGGCGTCGTCCATCATTTTATACAGATGGTGATAAAGACTCATCAGTGACCCCTACGGGCTGCAGTGTTGTGGAATACAAACAGGAGGGTTCATAAATATATATTTTAAAAATCAAACATTGACTAAAGTAATAGGGCTTCATGTCTAAAGTTGCTCTTCTAATTTTATTATGAGAGATAAAGAACTGACGATTTCTCTGTGAGTCACTGTTTGAATTTAAACCTTTTTTCTCGATAATCTGAGTTTTACATAAAAATTAACAACATTTATTCTGAAAAACCCAGGTCAGGCGTTAACATGACACAGTGTCCTGTCTTCTTTTAGAGTTCTCCAGGTAGCTAAACCAGGTTCTTCTAAACCAGGATACGGGCTTATTGTGGTGTGTGAAATCAAGATATGATGTTATCATAAAGAAACACAGAACCAGGATACTTTAAAAACCTGATCAAAACCAGGATAAGTTATAGGCTGTTACAGACTGATGTCTGTAGGCCAAAATATATCTGTTACAGACTGATATATCTGTAACAAGCCGATATATATCTGTTACAGACTGATATATATCTGTTACAGGCTGATATATATCTGTTACAGACTGATATATGTCTGTTACAGGCTGATATATATCTGTTACAGACTGATATATATCTGTTACAGACTGATATATATCTGTTACAGACTGATATATCTGTAACAAGCCAATATATATCTGTTACAGACTGATATATCTGTAACAAGCCAATATATATCTGTTACAGACTGATATACATATATATATGTTACAGACTGATATATATCTGTTACAGGCTGATATATATCTGTTACAGACTGATATATATCTGTTACAGACTGATATATGTCTGTTACAGGCTGATATATATCTGTTACAGACTGATATATATATATGTTACAGACTGATATATCTGTAACAAGCCAATATATATCTGTTACAGACTGATATATATCTGTTACAGACTGATATATATATATATATATATATGTTACAGACTGATATATATATATGTTACAGACTGATATATATCTGTTACAGACTGATATATATATATATCTGTTACAGGCTGATATATATCTGTTACAGACTGATATATATCTGTAACAAGCCGATATATATCTGTTACAGACTGATATATATATATATATATATATATGTTACAGACTGATATATATATGTTACAGACTGATATATATCTGTTACAGACTGATATATATATATATCTGTTACAGGCTGATATATATCTGTTACAGACTGATATATATCTGTTACAGACTGATATATATCTGTTACAGGCTGATATACATATATATATATGTTACAGACTGATATATATCTGTTACAGGCTGATATATATCTGTTACAGACTAATATATATCTGTTACAGACTGATATATATCTGTAACAAGCCGATATATATCTGTTACAGACTGATATATATCTGTAACAAGCCGATATATATCTGTTACAGACTGATATATATCTGTAACAAGCCGATATATATCTGTTACAGACTGATATATAGATCTGTTACTGACTGATATATAGTAAAATCTAAAGACACAAATTTTTACAGTCAGCGCTCAAATTAAACAACAAAAAAGTACATAAAATCACACACACGCATGCTCAGTGAACACTCTGCAAACACACGACCACATTTCATGTGTTTTTACAGGAAGTGTTGGACGGATGTGTGCAGACTGTCATGTCCAGCTCAGGGTCTTAGGTTGTTTTTATTTCTATCTTGTTTTATTTTCTGTTTTGGGTCACTAACTTCTCCTCTCGTTTCAGATCCGTCACTTCCTGCCCTCATGTGTTTCCCACCTGTGTGATTGTCTGCCCCGCCCTGATTGTTCCCAGCTGCATCTCGTTGTCTTCCCCCTCACCCTACTATTTAGTCTGTAGCTTCCCTTCCTTCTGTGCCAGTTCGTCTTCGACCCCTGTGAGAAGCGTTCAAGCCTTTTGTATCCCCTTTGATCACTTTTTTGGATTGTATCTTCTTCAAGAGTAAAGACTGTTTTTTTCCCCCCCATCAAAGACTGCGTTGTGAGTCGTGCTTTTGGGTTCACTTACCTGTGGTGTTGTTACATAGACTCGTCTTCACACCTCTGAGGCTTTAGACTCGTCACCAAACATTTATAGGATTTCTCAATCAGAGACTCGGAACAGCTTTGTTCTGCTGCTCTGACCTGCTGAGATATTGAATCTATATGACTATATTGACTTTATATATATCTATATAAAGACATATATCAATATATATTGATATATGACTATATTTAATCTATAATTACACTATATTACTCACAGTGTGTGAATGTGTGTGAATGGATGAGTAAATACTGATGGACTCTTTACTCAGCAGGCTCTCAGGATTTATTCAGCCATGGTCAGACAACATAGAAACACAACACACATGGCTGACAAAGTGCAGACCATCGCTGACCCATGCTGACCAAGATCTCACAATCGCTGGCAATCATTTGCAAAGTCTTCATCTTCACAGTGTTGCTTATATTCTGCTAGAAGGTACATCCTACAAATTCCCTGGCTGGAAAGAAGACATCTCCTTGACTCGTAAATATCAGACATATACATTTCTTCAGTCTCAGAGTCACATTTCCTTCTCAGCTCACAACAGACACTTCAATCCAAATATAACTCTGCTGCTATGAGGTCTCTTACACATACGTATTACAGCTTCACAAACCTAAAAGAAGAATTACTCTTAGATGGTTGACACAATTTAAAGAAAATATGTACTAAATGTGTGTGTGACTGCTGTACTGGTTGTTCTGTGTTTTTTGTGCGTTGCTTCCTGTTTGTTAACCCAGTTTCAGACTGCCGTGACCACAAAAACTTCCTGCTCCTGCACGCTCGGCTCTTAGTCTCAACATGAAAATAAATTATTTTGGTTTGAGCTGCAATCACAAACAGTCCTTACAAAGCCACACAACATATATATATATATATATATATATATATATATATATATATATATATATACACATACAGTATATATTGGTAAAGATTTGATTGATTACATTTCTAGAGCCTGTGTGTTTGATCCCAGTGTTCATGTTCAAATCTGCCGACCATCAGAGGGTAACTCTGTGACACAGACTGTAGGCCTCTCCTATAGCAACAGATCTATAGGTGGAGAGGAGCCCAGTGTATGAGGAGAGCTGAAAAAAAAAAAATTGCACTCAGGCTGAAGAAATGTACATGACATTTAGAAGTCAAGGTGACGTCTTCTTTCCGGCCAATCAGAAGTGTGTCCATGCCAACAGAATATAAGCTGGAAATCTAGAAGGAGGTGTAGAGGAGACGTAGAGGAGGTGTAGAGGAGACGTAGAGGAGATGTAGAGGAGATGTAGAGGAGATGTAGAGGAGATGTAGAGGAGACGTAGAGGAGATGTAGAGGAGATGTAGAGGAGATGTAGAGGAGGTGTGGAAGAGATGTAGAGGAGGTGTCAAAAGTATTCACTGTTTTCATTCTGTTTCCTTGCTGGAGTGTGACGTGATTTGTGTCATGTGCAGGTGCGATGGATTGCATACAAATCAATAGGGAGTCAGAATGGTACTGTATATGTTTATACTTCTCATCCAACCACAGATTTTTTTTTTTGGAAGCCGGTATAAAACAAGCCGAAATGAAATAGAGTAACGCGGCTGTTTTGAAAATGTAAGAAGTAGAAAGTACAGATAATTGTGTGAAAATGTAAGGAGTAGAAGTAAAATGTCAGCTGAAAAATAATTACCCCAGTAAAGTATAGATACCCAAAATTTCTACTCAAGTAAGGTAACGAAGGATTTGTTACTTGACACCTCTGAGGAGGTGTAGAGGAGGAGTAGAGGTGTACCTGGTGTTTCTGTGCAGGAGGTGAAGGAACTGCAGATGAGAAGCGCAGAGACGATGAACGCAGCAGCCATCTTCATCGTCGTCACATAAGCCGTACAAGAAGAACAATGACTGCTTATTTCCTGTCTCCACTGTGTGTGTGTGTGTGTGTGTGTGTGTGTGTGTGTGTGTGTGTGTGCAGTTGGGTATGTGTGTGTGGTGTGTGTGTGTGTGTGAGTGCGTTCTTCATTAAGTTTCATTTCTGCTGCAAGTTTATTCCTTTTCTCACTTTTGTTTTTACTCACCTCGTATCATCAATCACACTTCGTAATCTAAGGGACTTTTTCTAATTTAGATTGGAGAAAGGGGAGAAGAAACAAAGATCGAGGAGTGCAAAATGGAGTTCGAAAGTGATAAAAAGCAGGGGTCGCTCATAAAAGGAGACTCCTTTCATTTTGATTCTTGCGGGAAATTGTGAGAATCCATTAAAACTTCTCAATAAAAACGAGGCTTTCTGAATAGAGTACACAGGGTGAAAGGTCACAGAAACACAAAAAGGGAAAGGGACAAAAAGTTGCCGATCATTGGACAGTTCCAGCAACATCATCAAACCTTCAAAGCTATGCTCATTTCTTTTTTATGCTCATGTTTCTTCTAATGAAATGCAGGACCATTTAGTGGAGCTTCACTTAACTTTGACATTTTTCAAACCATGGGTCTACTCTGGAAATGTGTTTCCAACGGTAAATTTAAACTCATCAATGGCATAAAGTGTTTCTCAGTGAACTACAAATTGGTTTAAAAAATCTAAACCTAGCACCAATGGTCTGACTTCATAAAAAAACAAAATTAATGGTGAATTTAAGCAGGCAAGTGTCCAAATTACCAACACAACAAACAAGGTTTATGTCAGACTTGTAATCCTGTTGTCAATTATCAGCGTCAGATGACCAACTCAGAATTTTTTTTAATCAGAAATACGACAAGGTAACACAGTAGAGATTTCCTAACTTGCAGAGCAGGGGCTCTCAACTGGTGGGTCGCAGAGTTGTTTTCAGTGAATCGTGAATGTTCACCTGAAAAAATTATTGTCAGTAAGTCTATGAAGCTGAGTTTTTCTGTCTCTTTGTTCTGTCATGTTTTCTTCTGCCTGAGGACAAAACTTTTTTGGTTGGTGAAAGGTATGGAGGAATCTTTTCACACTTGTTGTACCTAGGATTCAAGTTTGTGACCCAATATGACCAGGCCTTTGATTTTAGAGCCACCAGAGTGAACCCATTTATGCATGTCTTTGGAATCAAGCACAAGAAAAAGTGCAGAAAATACTTTATTGTTGTTGTATTATTACTCTTCAGATAAATAAGGAATATGGGCATTCAAATTTTACTAAATCAAAGCATTTCTTACAATAGGAATCCTGAACTTACAGCACCAGAGGATACACATTGGTAGTTGTCTTTGTATGTTTTTGGGGAACTTTTAAAGTTAGCAAACAGTTACAGATCAGAAGAGTTATAAAGGGGAAGAGAACAGACACAACTACCAAGATAAATGGAAATGGAAGGCAAAGCGCGTCAGACTCCCTGGTCAGTCAGTCAATCTTCCACTCGTTCCACGGTTCATCTTGAATGTGAGCGACTCATATGTTCCGGTAGATTTTGTTTATTGTATGTACTGTGTGGCAGGTTCTGCTGCAAACCTAATTTCAAGGACAATAAAGTCCGAAACTAGATTTAGTGCAAGAGACAGCAGAGAGGAGAGGTGCTAGAGGTGAATCGTTCAATAATGGAATACTTTGGGAGGCTAGAGAGGAATAGAGTGATGGGCGGAAGCAGATAAAGTTAAGTAAAGACAAGTGAGTCAGCCTGTTTCATGAATTGTTGGCAAATGAGCTCAAAATGTTTAAATGCAAAGAGCTTTGTGTTGGAAAATAGAGGAATATGTTTCCCCTGCAGGAAATGATTAGAGGGAGGAGATTAGATCGACTTTCAAGTAGGGTAATAAAACCTTGAAGTGTGGAGTCCAGAAGGAGCCTTATAACGTGTGTATGCCTCATACCTTATATTATCTTCTTTTTGTCAGTTGTTGTCTCAGAAATATGAGAATTGTCCAAATCAGCCTTTACATGATTGTGACATGGGGCATACATCATTGTGCCGTTTATGTAGGGCGATAGAGCGCCAACACTGCCTATCAGCTGCAGAGCTGGAAATCAGTCTGCCTTCATTTCCCAAGACTGGCGCGAACCACTCTAGGCAGATATGAAACATCCAACACAAGGTGGCAAACATAAACCAATAAAATCACATTTTGGCAACAGTCATAACAACGTGCAATAATTACCCAACATTGATTTGTAGTTGCTCCCCTGATTTGAATCCTGATCTCCTGACCTGCATTGTTTGTTTGACTCATCTATTGGTATAGACCTTTAATCCAAGCGGACTTTATCCATCATCTAACTGCCAAATGGCTTTTCACGACCCGGATGGATTGATGGTCTAATGCTGCCTCAGATGGGTTTAACATTTGTGAAGGTGGGTACACACCACAATAAAATCAGACCTATTTTGGGCTAGATTCCCCACTTTCGAATCAAAGTCACGATATTTTGATGGCTCTAAAGATTATGTTGTCAGATTTAAAGAGTGGTCCAATCTGATCATATTGTTGCTCTCCACACACTATAGGAGCAAAACTGTTTCATCTTTCTTGTGTGTGGGGTCTCTCACATTTTCAACATCTAGTAAGATTCTAAAAAATCTTTTCAGTGAGCCATGCTTTAGATGGAAGCCCAGTGCTGCTCATGAGGATGCTAAAGGGTACCTCATGCTTCTGGAAGACATGCAGAGTGAGGAGGGGATTATGTAGGTTTACATTGGCATTATAGCGCATTAAGTCTGGTGGGCATGACTTGGAACAGTGAATGAGAACAGTCTGCATACTGTACACTTAAACTTGTCCTTGTAAAGATACACACACTCAAGAGAACACATACAATAGAGCAGGTATTCACTCACACATCAACAAAGACAGCAACTGATGCACATATACTCTACGCAGGTACAAAGTTAGATACACTCTGCAATACATCAATATACTATTCTGTCCACACAAAGCAATGCACACACAAATCCATGCTTATAGACCATTTTGGTAATCGTATAGTGATGACATGTTTTGTGGGCAGATTCCAAATATTTACGTAAGGTTAAGTACCTATAGCTTGCAGTCCATTCAAATAAGAAAGTCTGGGTACCTCTAATTATATTAATTGTTTGGCAGCAGGCTGAGGCTTCCTGACCCATACTAACTGTTGGGTCAGTGGGTCAAGGTCCTAACTTAAAGGCCAAAGTTACGGCAGCATCTTGGAGTACCTTGTGTAGAAATCCAGCATCTATACGAATGAAAGACTCAAGGCAATCAACTCTCTTGACGCATACAATTTTGTTCTTTGCAGTCACGTCCAGGACCTTGAATACCGCGATTTGTCAGATTGTTTTTGTTTAATAAGGACCAACGTTCTGCCCAGCATGAGGCAAGGATATAAAACGCAGCAATACAAGACGTGGTCTATCGTGAAGCCAAACAACTACATACTGACAGGGAACTGCACTATGGCTGTGTTAGTATTAAAGAGCCCATATTCTGCCCTTTTTGGGGTTGGTATATTTAATCTATGTACCTACTTTTGTACGTTCACAATAGCTAAAGTCCGAAAAAAGTGTCTGTTTTCATGTACTGCTCCTCCTTGCTCCCTCTACGCTCTGAGGCCGTCAGCTACGCTCTTTTGAGCCCCCGCTGTTAGACCCCACGTGGGCCAAGTCTGTTCTGATTGGTCTGCCGATCCGCTCTGTCGTTATGGGTCAGTTGCTCAGCACGCGTCTCGGAAATTTCAACATGAGCTGCAGGACTTGCCACAACGAGCCAATGGGCTTAGATCAGTGATCTCACACTGACAATGACGTCGGACTGACAATTTTTTGTCGAAGGGGGGGCTAGAACCGAGCGTTACATGCAGCTAATGCTACAGCTAACAGGAGGAGGTAGGAGAAGCCGCGTTTCCGCGGACTTTGAATTTTTGCACATAGATGTGAATAAACATGCACAGGACACTTGGAAAACACACTAAAGAGCATATAAAACCAGAAAAAGCATAATATGGGACCTTTAACTCTTTGTTAGTCATTCCAATTAATTGTTTATCGTATGTTAGAACAATGTAAATCACTTTAAGTACAGCTCTACATGAGTCTCTCCATTTGCTTTCACTGTTTT